GAGGATTGCTTAAGCCCGGGAGTTTGAAGCTACAGTGAGCCATGATCGCACCTCTGCACTCCAGTTTGGGCAACAGAGTGACACCCTGATGAAAAACAAAAACAAAACAAATAAACAACAACAACAAAAATGAGTACCTTTCTACTTTTCTACCATGTTGTAGCTGAATCTGATGGAAAGACATTCTAAGAAATGTGAGCTGAGATGTACATTTCTTAGTGTAAGGTAATATATTGACATTTTTATTTTATTTATTGGTTTCTTGAGCTGGGTTAATGTAGCTCCGCACCCAAAAGAGACAGTCAGCTGGCTAAGCCTGCAAAGGTTTTGTGGGAAATTCTTTAAGTTCGCATCATGAGCTCATGTCTCCCTCATGATACCCCAACAATACTGTTGGCAAATGCTTAAAACAGGGTCAATAGTAATGCATTTCTACTACCCTCTTTTACTCACAATATGCAAGGCACTTTCCTAAGGGTCTTGAAAATAAGAAAATGAAATAGAGTTGGTTCCCAAAGGATTGACAATTCAGTTAGGGAAATTTCAATTGGCTTCACTACTCACCACAATGTAACATATTATATTGTAGATACGGCAACCATCTGGGAGCACAGGAGGAAATAAACTTTTAGAAGACAGAGGTGTGCAGGGACAGCAAACTGACCACTGGGTGTCCAAGGCTCTGTCTCGGCACAATGGTCACACCAGCAGGGGAACAGGGGTGTTGATTTTCCACCAAAGCCTGTTAGTGACTTTGGGATGTACAAATGGGAGGAAGGGGACAAAATATTCAGCTACCATCTCCCTGGAAGTCTGTATTAATCCTGCTGATAATAAAAGGTTTACTTAACTTTATGTATTATTTTTTACTACCTAGAGGCCAATATGTTTGGAAGTAAAGGCACTTGGCTTCCTGGTCCTGCTCTAAGATGGGAGCTTAAACCTATGGAATGTGACACCACTCTGGGCAAAAACAGAATTCTTAGCAAAAAAATCATTGATGTTAAGGTAAATTTATTGAATGTGAGCTCATCTACTTCTCAGATAATTAATACATTACTTATGATGAACAAACTTATTTATTAGCATATGTTTCCTTTATGATATTGCATTATGCATATATCATAATTGAACATGCATGGCTGAACTGTTTTTTGGCACAATTGCTAGAAATTAGCATTTAAATGCTCCTTTTTTTGTTTTGTTATTTAATTGACAAACCATATGTTTTCTGTGGTGCATATTTTATTTTCTGTTGGGATTTAGATCTCAAATCTTCATTGCACCAATACTAATTTTATTTTTTGGCAAGTGCCTACAACTTGCAGATTTACTCATCATTATGATTTGAATTAGAAACTCAGAAAATAGAGATGTTACCTTTACAGAGTCATGGTAATAGAATAACAGCTGCCTAAACTTGGCCTTAATACTGAATGATCATTGATTATTACTTAAAATATAAATACTTGGTGGTAAGACTGTAGTGTATCTATTCAGAAACTAAATAAAGATGGATCCAAATTTGCAACTCCTTCAAGTTACCATGCCTGCCCTGTCAATGAGTCAGACACCAACTAAAGAGAGAAACTAAAACTTCCTTATTCTGAACTAATTTCTCAGTCTGCTCACCAAAAGAGATTTTGCTCTTGACTACTGACCTTCAGGCTTTATTCTTCCATTTCCTTCCTACTTTGTCATGCAGTCTCAAAGCTCATTTCTCCAGCTATTATCTTGGTTCCTTTGATAATAATTCTGCTGCTTCTTTTCTACTCAACATTGCTTTAGGAAACATCTCAAATTGCTACAATACAAACAAATTACTAGCCAATGAACATGACTTCAATATTTTTAAGTTATGTTAAGAGCTAGGCAGCTTCCTATCCTACTAGGTTTTAAGCTTTCCTGTTTCTGATTCAATTTAGAACAGTAAATTTGAAAACACAGAGCTTATACATTATTAACTATATTAGTCTGTTCTCGCATTGATATAAGGAACTACCTGAGACTGGGTAATGTATAAAGAAAAGAGGTTTAATTAGCTCATGGTTCTGCAGGCTGTACAGAAAGCATGGCTGGAGAGGTCTCAGAAAATTACAATCATGATGGAAGGCAAAAAAGAAAGTGGCACCTCTCACATGGCTGGCACAGGAGGAAGAGAGAGCAGGCAGAGGTGCCACACATTTGTAAACAACCAGATCTTGGGAGGGCTCACTCACTTTCATGAGAACAGCAAGAAGGAGATCTGGCCCCATGATCCAATCACCTCCCAGCAGGCCCCTCCTCCAGCACTGGGGTTTACAATTGACAGGTGATTTGGATGGGGACACAAATCCAAACCATGTTAATAACCCCAAATACATTATTTCTATGTTGAGAACACTGGGCCTCTAAGTTGAAAGCAATATTAAAAATTAATTTTTAAAAATGCTTTTATTGGCTTTTCAGCTACATACAAATAGGACTTAAAACGCATGCAGTCCCATTTTAAAAACCATACAAAATAAAGTCCACGTGGTTTCTTAATCACTTTCTACTTTTGCCTGTAGTTACAACAGTATACAAAATAGTTGAAAATAAGTGAGGATGATAATGATAATGATGATGATTTAGTATCATGTAGAAACATAAAACCTAATGTGCTAGTTGTGGACATTTAACACCCTGACTTTGACCAACACATTTTGATTGTGTCAAAGGATGTTTTTGAATACCCCACAAAGAAAACTCAGCCAAATGTCTGTGAATGCTAAACACCTATGAGTAGCTATTCCTCTTCTAAACTATAAATTTCGCTTGTGTCTTTATTATGGTACTTATCACTTTATTCCTTGGGATATAGTTACTTGTGTAACTTAGTTCCCCTAACACAGGGGAACTTTAGGGCATGATATGCATCTGATTCATCTTGGAATGCCTCCAGAACACCTATCCTGGAAGTCAACAAATGAGAATGACAGATAAAGTTTCAAACCTATATCAGCACTCCAGAATTAATATTGACAAATTCATATTGGCATGTAACAGATTTTGGAAACAAAGTTCTATGCATGTGGGTGTCAAAAAGAATAATGCACATTTCTGAATGACTGAAGGATAGCAGATGACTTCAAAGCCACTAGCAGGCTGTTTACTTTATCTGGGATCAAGGACTCTGCATGGATAAAAGGCAAAGGAAGTCATCCACCTTGAAAAAAAATATTTTCTTAAAATAGAGGTTTGGTATCTAAAGCTCCTTTAATTCATAGGTTCAGCTCTATGAAATCATTCTCTTTGATGTTTAATCATCCCAAATCCTATAATAATAATTTGGGGAAAAATAGGTTGCCATGGAAAACAGTGTGGGGTAGGGTTATGAGTCTAACATTAGGAAGATTTGACCTGGTTATAAAATTCATTCATGAAAGCACTGTGGTTAGAATTCGTGGGAAACCACCCAGCTTTATGCTTGCTAAAAGGAAGTAACAGGATATAGAGAGAAATGCCTTCAAACAAAGCTGTTATAAATCTGCAACAGACAATCGTAACACTCGAATTACTTAAACTCAAGCAGATGTTTTTATGTATATTAAATTTGATGTTTTTTGTTTGTTTATATGTTTATTTTAACAAAATAAATCAGAGACATTGGAGGAAAGTATATGAATTATTCTAGATATGCTTTGCTTAAGAAAAAAATATTGTAATATGGGTAAAGAGTAGAAATACTCAACTGTTGATGAATGTAATTCCTCCACGTTCTGTCATTTCACTTACCTTGCCTCCCTTTTTGCCTCAGATTTTGCAGCTCTAGTAGGGTTTGTGGTTTATACGAAAAAGTAGATTTTTTTCCTTTTAAATGGACATATATATCTTCAGATGTAAAACTTCAGAATTTCAAAATATGATAAAAATTTTGTCACTTTATAGGTTTTGATTTGATTTATTTTAAAAGTTTCACTATTCTTTTGATAGTAGCTGACAGATCCAATCCTGTTCCCATATGCTTTCTGCTATTTTAAAAGAAACAGTACACAATTGCCTCAGAGAGACACCATGTGTTTCCAAAGTGTGAATCTGAAAACCATCCATCTGGGCATGTTGGCATCTTCCTGAATTGTATGTGATTGAAAGAAATGTATTCAACATTTTTCAACTCTTTGACTACATGAGAAAGAGAATAAGGTAAAGGAGATCTTTTTTCATTTCCAGTTATTGAGAATCGAGTCTGCTCCTTAGATTGGACACCTTGCCCACCCTTCTGCCTGGATAGCTCCAACCATTTATCAAGACTCAGGTCAACAGTGGCATCTTTAGTGAATGACTCTGTCACTCTAGCTCTTTATTTGTCACATAACTAACTCTATGCATACTCATATGAAAGTGCTTATTTACTTCGATTAAAATTATTTCTTCAACTGTTGCTTCCCCTATTATCTATGAGCTCCTAAAATGGAAGGCAGATGGTCTTTAATGTAATTCAATTCAACAAATACTATTACAATGTTCCAGATACTAATCTAGAAGCTGCAGAGACAATTCTGAATAAGAAGAGAGCATTTTTGTCCTCCAGAATTTACAATCTAGCTGGGGAGATAGAAATTGAATAAATAATTAAACTTAAAGATGATTCTTGGTGAGGTGTTAGGATAACCGCATCTGAAACCTCACATAGATGAAAATAAAGTTGAAAGTTAATATTGTTTTTATTAATAGTACTTTTTGTGTTGTATGACATAGTTATTCAGATTGATTTTCTAGATTGTTGAAATCATTGTACATATTTCTTGTGAAGCTAAAAAATAGCCATAATAGCCACTAAATTATGGGCCAGGCATATGGCTAGGTTTATGTATGTATACATACACACACATAAGTTATATTATACATAACTTATAGTGAATATAAGCCCTCTATGCCCAAGTTACTTTTTTTTTTTTTGAAACTCGATCCTAAAAGTAAAGGTTTTTTTTCAAATTATTTAAATAGCAGATAAATCATATTGAATCATTATAGCCTCAAATACATGATATCAAAATATGGCCACATATTAATCAAATAAAACTATTAACTTTATGGTAAACTAAGAGACTGAGAAATCTTGCCACAAAACATTAAAGGCAGAGTGACTTCCATGTTTTGATCGTGTTAGAGTTGTCTTAGTCATTTTAGGCTGGCCTAACAGAATACCAAGGACTGGGTAGCTTAAGCAGCAGAAATGTATTTCTTACAGTTCTGAAGACTAGGAAGTCCAAGATGAAGGTGCTAGCAGATCCAGTGTCTGTTGAGTGTCCTTTGCTCTCTAGTGAGGGTGTGTAGATGACTGCCTTCTCATTCCAATGTCTCACCTGGTGGACAATAGAGAGAGAAGAAGCAAGCTCTCTTGTGTCTTTTATAAAGATATTAACCCCATTCATAGAAGCTCCACCCTTTTGACCTAATAATCTCCCAAAGGTGTAACCTCCTAATATCAATATTTTGGAGGTTAATATATCAACATATGAATTTTGGAGAGACATAAACATTCAGTCCATGGCAGGCTGCATAACTGGTTCCATTGTTAAAAGAACAATTCAGTAAAAATAAAAAGTAATAATTCCATCAGATTTTGGTTAAGTTGATTGTCATATAATTTGGTTCATTAATAAAATAACCTATTTCTACCCTAAATGGGGATACTTTGATTAAGATTTCCACTTCCTAGTGATCACATTCCTCAAGAGAAAGCACTGTCTACTTTTTTCAAATCTCATTCATAGTATCTGGACTAGTATTCTACACCATATGAGAGTTTTGTCAAAGTTGAGTAAATCAACTTGGACCTCTTTTCTTATTATTAAAATGTAACAAATTTAATTAATGGACACCCTTTTATCAATACAGGTATCCCCTGCTATCTGAATTCTCTCTTTTAATGAAAATTATTTTACTATCTAAAATCTAGAACTGAATTGAAGCCCTACTCTTCAGATCAAAAAAAGGTTGCAGAATATGAATTTAGGCACTTTTTGGAGGGCTGGAGGTCTGTATGCTGTTATTAGGAAAAACTGTCTACTCTCCAGAGATGAGAAAAAAGGGAAATTGTTACAAAATTAATATGGGACCAGCTTAAAAGATGTATTGAAAGGAAAAGAGAGATTAGAATACCAGACAGGAGGCAATAATATTGAAAAAGTGAAGTTTTCATATCTTGTCAAAAGAAAATGTTTACTTTTTCAAAGCTTTTCTTTAACGTTGGATATTATGAATAAATTTGAAATCCAAATTATCGTCCAGCCATGTTGAGTATATTTGCTACTCCAACGAGTTTTTAGAATGCTCTGATGAAACTTGTGTGATCTCCAAGTTTGTATAGTGAAGAGAAAACCCTGAAAATCTTTCACTTTGTCATGCCTGCGCTGAGGGCAGATGACTCACTGTATGAATTCAAGTTAAATCACTTAACCTTTTTCTCTTATTCAACCCATCTGGGAAGCTGAATACAAGCACTTCACTAGAAACAGATGGTGAGCCTAAGCTACATTTTCCCAGATTAAAAAAAGAAGAAGAATGTGTTATAAGGACTAAAAGAACCAAACGTGGAAAAAACACAGGGATTACATGGAAAAGAGCTATAAGCTGGATCAGACATTTTCACCTGTAAAAAATAATGTAATGCTTAAAAAATAAGTCCTAGGAGATGATATGGGGAAAAAGTCAGTAAAACCTTTTCATAAGCACCATATGTGTAATGTGGTCTTGATTGATGGTATTTACAGTAAGGAAAATGCTATTTGTTTGCTGGTTCATTTACCTGTATGTCTCAGAAAACAAATTTGGTTACTTTAGGATACTTTTAGGTTATCTATTTGATAACTGTAAAGCTAAATGCTAATAAAAACATCTCGAGAAAATTTATGAGACCCATCTAAATTATAGCTCCAGTGAAATTTAACACTAGTTGGAAAATTAAAACTTTCCAATATGTTCTAGGATAATTGTTTTCTAATCTTTTATATGCATATAAATTGCTTGGAAGTAAGGCAAGTAATTCTCCTTGGTAACTTTGGATTTTAATTTTATTATGTATAAAATTATATTAAATTCAAATGTATTTACATGTGAATATTTTTATCTGTCACATTTTATGGAAAAAGAAATGTCTGTTACAGCTAAAACAAAGATATTTTGATGAATAAAGTAGAACATAATAAAAAGTATCTGCATCTTCTTATTTCCAAGACCAGTTGGGATAAAGTTGGGGAAAATTAGCTTACTATTTAAAAGACATACTTTGTAGACGAGGCTGGATACAAAATCTAAGAAATTCACATTATCAATTTCCAGATGCCACAGTGTAAAAATCCAGACTGTCCCTAATGAAACAACAATAACGTTCTTCATAGAGAAAAAAGAAAAAAAAAACCCTAAAATTTTTATGTCACCACAAAAGACTCCAAATAGCTAAAGCAATCCTGAGCAATAAGAACATGCCAGAGGCATCACATTACCAGACTTCAAAATATGCCACAACACCGTAGTAGCCAAAACAGAAACATAGACAAATGGAACAGAATAGATAACCCAGAAATTAATCCATGTATCTACAGCTAACTGATTTTTGACAAAGATGCCAAGAATGCTCATTGTGGAAAGAACAGTCTGTTCAATAAATGGTGCTGGGAAAACTGGATATCCATATACAGAGGAAGACAATTAGACCCCTACCTCTCACCTATACAAAAACCAACTCAAAATAGATCAGAGACTTAAATGTAACACCCCAAATTATAAAACTACTAGAAGAAAACAGAAGAAATTTATACCACATTGGTCTGGGAAAAGGTTTTGTGAATGAAACCTCAAAATCACAGGCAACAAAAGTGAAAATAAACAAATGGGATTGTAGCAAACTAAAGAACTTCTACACAGCAAAAGAAACAATCAACAGCATGAAAAGACAACATGCAGAATGGGAGAAAATATTTGCAAACTATTCATCCAACAGGGAATTAATATCCAGAATATACAAGGATCTCAAACATCTCAACAGTAAAAAAGCAAAAGATCCGATTTAAAAATGAGCAAATGATCTGAACAGACATTTCTCCGAGGAAGACATACAGATGGTCAATAAATATATTTTTTTAAATGTGCCAGCATCACTAATGATATGGGAAATACAAATAAAAACCATAATGAAGTATCATCTCACCCAGTTAAGATGATTACTATCAAAAGTGTTTTTTTTTAACTTTAAAAAATAATTTTAAAAACCAAAAGAGTTAAAGCTTTAAAGGAATAATAATCAAGCATTATAAAGTTACAAAGTTACATTTCTTTTTTAAAAAAGTTTTAATTTAATTTTATCTTATTTTACTCTGAGTTCCAGGGTACATGTGCAGGATGTGCAGGTCTGTTAAATAGGTAAACACGTGCCATGGTGGTTTGCTGCAGCTATCTACCCCTCACCTAAGTATTAAGCCCAGCTTGTCAGATGCAACATTTCTTAACGTCTAGGGCAATCAATGCACAATTGTTGAATGATAAAAGATGTTAACAGTCTAATCAGAACTAGATTTCTTTACAAGTTGGCCATAAAAACACATTCAAGAAAATGAATGTTTTCCCATTTTTAGACTAGAGCATTTCTGACAGCTCTCTTCGCCACAACAATTTAAATAATATGTAAATCATTTATGTACCAATTATGTTTTCAGTCAATCTGATCCAAGGTTTTCAAATATAGTCCCTTGAGATAGTTTTAAAAAGAATTCTACAGACAAATAATTTTTGGAGAAGTTCTCAGTACTCAGTAACTTCTTGGAGTTTCATATTGTACATTCATTCATTCATCTAATATTGACTTTGAGAGGATCTGCAGTAAAGAAGCTATTTACTTTTGTTGGTCATGAAGCCCTTTTGGGGCTTATTCATATTCTATGAAACTACCACTTCTTAAAACAGACATTGGAAAATTTTGGTGCAATCTTTTGCAAGTGGAAAGATTTCTGTAGGCTGTAATGTTTAAGTAGCTCGAGTGCTCAATAATTAATCTTGTATATAGAGAAGTAGGACAGCTACAGAGATATGGATTAAAAGCGATATAATATTAAAAAATGCTTAACATTTGACTTTTACTTCATTAATCTAGTTCAATGTTCCTTAGCAGAAAACATTAGTAGCATTTGACTGCATTTTCCAGTAGTACCCGATGTGCTATTTTTGTGCGTGATCTCAACTCACTGCAAGCTCTGCCTCCTGTGTTCATGCGATCCTCCTGCGTTCACGCGATTCTCCTGCATCAGCCTCCCGAGTAGCTGGGACGCAGGCGCCTGCCACCACGTCCAGCTAATTTTTTGTACTTTTAGTAGAGATGGGGTTTCACCATGTTAGCCAGGATGATCTCGATCTCCTGACCTCCTGACCTCCTGATCCGCCCCGACTCGGCCTCCCAGTGCTGGGATTACAAGTGTGAGCCACCACGCCTGGCCTGGTTTTGTTTTCAAATAAAACAATTTAAATAAAACAATAGTCAGCTTTCAGAACAATATGACCCCCAGGTCTCACCTTTCTCTAGTCTAAGCATGCTAAACTTATGGGAAAGACTTTCAAGGGCTTCTTATCACTTGATCATTGAGAAACAGCCCATCAAGGCAAATAGCAAACCAGAACCTCTTTTCTGCTCTCCTCTTGAAACTAGCTACAAGGATTCCAAAGGGAATCTATTACAAATAAACTGGCCTTTGTGGTTGTTGATGGTCTTGCATTTTCATGATTTTGTGTCATTTTTACTTACAAATATAGAAGACTAAGATCCAACCTTCTGACCTTTTACTTCTTCACTAAGGCAATATATTCATACACAACATAGGAAATTGTGTTCACTTCAGAGAGTTCATTCAACTATCTCTATAGAATTTTCAAAATACCATTAAAAGTTCATGTTTTCCATTACACACCTATTAGATTGGTTAAAATAATAATACAAATAAAATACTGACTGTGCCAGAGCTGGCAAGCAGGTGGAGAAATGGATTTCCTATGAAATACTGTTGTGAATGTACAGTACAGCCACTCTAGGAGTTTGGTTGTTACTTAGAAAATTTAACATACATTTACCATATGATCCAATGACTGCACTCCTGGACTTTCATTCTACAGACACGAAAATTTATGTTCATGCAAAAACTTATAGATGACATTCACAGTAGTTTTAATTGTCATAGCCCAAAACTAGAACAAGCAAAGCCAATCCAAATGTCCTGCAATGAGTGAAAGCAATCCATAGTGTGGAACATCAGGCAATAATAAAAAGGAACAAGCTATTGATATCTGCAACAATATAAATGAATTTCAAGGTGATTTT